TTTCCTCGTTTCGAGGGTAGGCCTGCCTGCAATCGAAAGAATTCATGATTCCAGATTTCTGAAAAGAAATAAAATATCAGAGTGCGTGAAATATATATTTACCAATCTTTGGCCGTCAAATTCATCCGTACTTTCCTTCTGCTCAATGAGCGTTCGTAGCTGACCCCCAAGGATGTTTTCTACGGATCGACGTGAAAACTGTTAGCAAAAGGTGAAAACACGTAGGTAGCCTTTGTCTAATTTAAACTTACCCATTGCGAGTGCCACCTCATTAATAAGTAAATCTTTTGTTTCATCAACATATTCCATGGCAGGCTTTTGGTCGTATTGAAGAAGATCTTTAAAAAAGCGATAGTAATAGGTTTTATGGTTGTCTTTGAGACCATGTTGTTGGGTATAATATTGCGTGTTGGGGTTGAACTAGTTTATAAATACCTGAAAAGTCACGTTATGCTTGTGTTATGTGAAATGTATGTGTTATATTGCGCTATATATTGCACCTGTACAGAATGTAATGCAAACTATAGAGATATTGTAGCTATTGTTCGTCTCCTCGGAGAATACGATGAGTATTATTTGTAGCATATGATTATATCGCAGTTACGATTATTCTTTACGAATATCGGATTAAATTGGATAGACAAAGACGTTTTGATCTTCTGCATAATCACATTCATCAACACAACGCCTGATGTAGTACCTATTGTTTGTTGAGTTGATAGCATTAAATCAATTGACTTTTGATATAACGGATAATAAGCGTGTTAATACACGTATATCTCACAAACGTTATTTATAGTCATATAACATGTTGTCACATCACATAATGTTACGAATCCAAAAGAATGTAATACGTTGTGCATTCAACGTAGAAGTTCGTACACATGTCTACCTGAATTTCGGGGGTCAATTGGCGGTAGTACAGCAGAGGATTAGATTTTACATAAAGCCTGACGATCATCAGTTGTATATATTTATTACAGTATTATGCAGGATATAATACAAAGGCACTGTATATTGGTATAAGTACATTGCAGGCTAATAGTTAGACACTAGAACACTGTTCCTATGACCGTTTGTTTACGTTATCATTTTAATTTCGGAGATGAGTATTCATTCTCCGTCCTATTACTATTACTATTACTATTACTATTACTATTACTATGGGCGTACTGCAAGTTGATGATTGCGGGAACAAATATGTCATTCACATATACATTCTCAGAAAGTTTGTGAACACAGAAATTTTAAGACTTCTCGAGCATTGTTAACATGTTAGGGGTACAGATAACAATTGCCAAGATGCATAGATAATACATAGAAATGTATGAATGTAGATATAGTTCATATTAACCGTTTATTGGGTAAACTTGCGTAAGCCATTGATTACGTTATTGCCAGCTTGTTGTTATCTTATGCTCGATCACATTCTCATACTTACTCCGTTGTCTGATGGCCAATATTAATATGCACAGATATCCATTCCACTATCAATAAATTAGTTAATTCTAATACGCAATTGGACGGCTTATTGTAAGACCATTTTTAGTTAGGTTTTCGGCTTTGACTTTTTGTTTTCCTTTTTATTATACATGAATTATGTAAGCAACTCAACGTAAATAAAAAATATGTTCTTTGAATTAGATTTTGGTAAACTAATTTATCAAGTGAAACTCACATTAAATATAACCGTTAAACTATCTCTTTTAATAACAAAGATGCAATATTAAAATGGCTACTACTATCAGAGTGATCTTTAGTTACAAACACGTGTTTATTAAAGTCACCAGACCATGTCTGAATTAGACATGCATACGCGTTATCTGGCATACGTTTGTTTCCATTTTGACCAAGTACCCCAACGTAATAATAAACCTGTTTACTGCCAAGAATATTTTGTTATCTATTGGTTCGGAATGAAAAACTTACAATGATTAATTGTTTGTAGAACCAGTCTTATAATGGAGAAATACCCTTTTCTTCAATGACCAAACAAACGGGTTCGACCTTCCTTATTTGTCTACAACGCCAACAGATTGTTTATAGAGGAGATGCGTGATACAGCACAGAATATTCTACTGCAATTGCGCGATAATTGCTCGTATGTTGACCTTTTTCCGTAATTTTTTCAATGACCTTCCTTATTTGTCCACAACGCCAACAGAGGATATGCGTGATACAGCAAAGAATATTCTACTGCAATTGCGCGATAATTGCGCTTCATTGCTCGTATGTTAACCTTTTTTTTTCAATGAATAAACAAACAGGTTTGACCTTCCTTATTTGTCTACAACGCCAACAGATTGTTGATAGAGAAGATGCGTGATACAACAAAGAATATTCTTCAACAATTGCGTTTCATTGCTCGTGTGTTAACCTTTTTCCGTAATTTTTTCAATGACCAAATAAACAGGTTTGACCTTGGTCATCTTTCCTTATCAGACGTGGAACAAAGGATCGCAAAGAACAATATGTGCAGCACCATCTTCTTGCGCACAAAGAAGCGGAAAATTAGTGACATTTGTAAAAACATTTCTCACCGATTAATTTTCAGAAAATAAAATATTACCAAAGTAGACACTTACATTAACTCGAAATTGTTATAATAATATTATAACCGATTAATACAAGAAAAAGATATAACCAGAAATGATACGAATACGAAACAGAAAACAAATACGTAAAAGCTTATTATCCACCTTACCTGCAGTAGTCCTATTATACTATCATAAAAATTACATAAGTCGAATATTTTACATGTTATTATTTTTTCAATCAAATATTGCTAAATAGAAAAATCTATTGATTGGTTCTGCAAGTAATTATTAACATTTTCGGCCAACTTGCCACAAAAATTAACTTATTTTAGCAGCCTCGTCTAAATTTGTACGAAGCAAACATATTATTGTTAAATTGTTGTCTGTACGCGGTTCCTATTAACAAATTTTATTTTTACATTTACAGTATATATTATCAGCTACGCGTTAACTAGACAAACGGGGTACTTCTACAATGGCCTTCAAGAACGTAATTTCCAGTTTGCAAAACTTATTTGCTTTAACAGTAAGGCCTCACGTCTGACCAATGTTTATCTCAACAAGACAAAGCTTGTGTTGCCTTAATAAACGAGCATGTCCAAATTATGAGCTTACACAGAAAGTAACTAAAGATTTGTCAATTTTCAATCCACTCGCGTATTAAGATACATCGTCAATTTGAAAACGGATGTTAATCGATAAAATAAAATACAATATACGCTGCCGTATTTTAATACGATTACGTTACCTTTCGGTAAATTTTTATCATAATAAGCACAAATGTACGCTAAATAAAAATAATACTGTGACTACGAAGCCGGACAGGCGCAGTCAACTTGTAAATGTGTGTGTATGGATACTTTACGGTTTAAAATCGACATTCGCGTTAAAATCTGTTTCAAAGAAAAATAGTACTACAACTCTGTATATTATGCATCAATTTATTTTAGAACTCATCGAAATGTTTTATTAGTTTGACGTGTTTCGACATACCGGCCCCGTGAAATATGTTAAGTAGAGCTAAACGTGGATAGTGCCATGATAAGTGTAAACATCGTATTTAATTGATATTTTGAATCACTAAATTAAAAGAGATAAAAAAAATGTTAAATTGCAACTTGACTTCAATTTTACCAATGCGTACCCAATAACTGTTTCTCCAGTAGGTAAGAGCTTACCGAAATATTTGTTCTCCTTCTCAAGATGTGATAAAGGTCTTATATTATTGTGATAATGGCATGCCACATGCTGTCGTCAGAATTGCCCACGTCCACTTCGTCAATATATATTCTTTTGGTATCATCATGATTGTCCTGGCAGTTCGACAGAGATTTGATATTATGGGCGGACTACGACCACTGATACCCGATTCAGCACCAGAAAGAAACTTGCTCAGCGTTGATCCTGACAAGAGTCCAGATGGAGGAAGACTTGGGTCGCGACCTATGTCTGATTTCTTCGTAAATTTGCAAATATGGAAGACTTCCGGTGCAACAAAGGGTAAGCGCTTCGAATGGTTGGTTTTGACTCACGTGAATCCGCTGATCGAGACAGAATATGAATGATTCAATGCACTAATCCCACGCGATGGATAGTATCCAGATAACCTGCAATACCACAAACACTCTAATTTCATCAACTTGTTTGTGTACCAGTCCAGTTGACCGTAGGAAGTGGGCTTATTCAGATGACCTATTTATTTAATAGCGAAGACATAAAGTGCATCCAGACTTGAATTGGGGCAAGAATGTTCTTTTTGTATAACAATAGCCGAGCATTATTCCATAAGTGATCGCCGTCGAGAAATGAATCACCATCAATGTGCCATTTCCTTTCAATGTGCTTACCAGACCATAACTATATGAATTGCCGATACAAACTTATATCTGGGAATCAAGCCTTCTAATTATTTACGAATTTTAGTCGGGATAAAAGGAAGGATCACTGTTAATATGATAACTGGATACGTGTCTTATCAACGGGATGAGGACATACATGATCAACTGTTCGTTCCTCTCAATACGCGGGCGCTTATCGATGACATGGTACCAATAGCACGGATCGGATGGATTTACACAGCACGAACCGTTTGGATCTTTACAGCACGCGTGTTTGGATCTTTACAACATGCTCTTTTGCAGCACGGACCGTTTGGATCTTGGTAGTACGGACTGTTTGGTTATTTACAGCACAGGGTAGTGGATAATCGAAAGAATAAAGGAGACGCTTGGCCGATCTAGTTATGGCAGATGAATGGATGAACAAATAAGTACGTTGATTATCACTCGGATGGTTGCCATTATCCGGAGACTTTCGGATATGCATACAAAAGTAATCCATACCCTGTTTGTCTATTCATCGCATGTCTATCTAATATATCCATTCATTTGGCCTGGTAATATTGGATGTTATGGGTCAGCAAAATGTTCTATTCAATTTCTACGGTATTACATCCAGACAGACATACTTGTCTTTCCTTGACTTTCAAGTCCCCCTGTTATTCACATCCAACGGCTAAACTCTGTCCGCAACTATCGACGATATGGCCCCCCTCAGGGTGCAAAATGTAGATAGGTCAAGCCTAAACCGATAAATCAAACGTGTATCTCTTTGTTGTGTATGCAAAGCGTTTGGTTTCTGGTGATAGTCTATTCCCGCGGTCTGTATATGACGGATGTAAAGATACAAGTTAGTCAGGTGCATATTATAATTAGAGGGGAGATGTATCGTCTTGTTTCATTTATTCCTATTACGCAAACCCAGTGATACTTACGCGAAGAATGTGATCTGACGGAAGAGAAGTCACATATGTTGTCTCGTAGCTATCGTTTTTATAACTAATGTGTCATGCCAATCTATGTGGTTGTGGTATGCTCAAACCCACATTTGAGAGCCGTACGATGACTCTGACAACGGCTGTGTCGTGTATATGGGATGATCCACTACATGCAGAAGGAAATGTCAGATGGTATACTTGATTATAACCCCCTCCAACGCTTAAATAAACTCAGTCAAGGATCGCGATATGTAACACACCATACTGCTCCAACAATCGGCTTGATCTTAGACACTATAACCCTTCCGACGCTTAATAACTCTGTCAAGGATCGCGACCGCATTATCGTCATGAAATCGAAACGAAACGGTGACTGATGCATAGACTTTTATATCCCGTGATATTCCATGCCCGTGGATTGACCGCCTAAGATTCATCTCCTTCAACACCGGACGTGAATCTGACGGAAGAATGGTCATTCGACCAATATATCCTGCTTAGCAGAGCAAAATCATGAGCGAACACGTTATCATAGTCATCTATGTATATTTGGTTTGCGTTAATGAGACTATAATCACATCTCTACCATAGCCAACCGAAAAGACCAATTAATAATAATAAAGTTAAACCGTACCTCTACATCAGAATATAGAAGCCCATGAACCCAGCTAACATTATGAAATTATGCAAAGGCTTTAATTTATCATTACTATCGTCGGCAGCACCACAGCGAAACGTAAATCGCCTCATACCGGCGGGGGTACCAATATCAAATACTCGCTCATTTTTAAACTCACTCCACATCGTTTTCGTTAAGCGGGATAAATATTTGAAGTCTTGGATAGGGTAAGCGCGGTTGGGCGTGCATTCGTGGTGGATACCCAGTCGAGTTGGGCGAAGGCGGTGATTGGCGCGGTTGAGTGGGGGGGTTATTGCCTAGGTGTGCGCGAACCTTGGATGATTAAGTTCCGCGGCGCGTTTCGTAACAATGACGGAATGAATAACAATACGGATAATACATACTTTGAATATGGGTATTTCTTTTTTCATCTGAGGAAATGTCATGCTTCTGTCGTGAGAGAACATCTGATAGAACTTGTGGCGAATCACCACAATAATTATTGATGATTTGTTAATGATGATAGATCATATAAGCGGCTCAAGACGGCACTCTCAAGTATCATACCAATTCGAATACTATGTGGCAGCTATTACTGTTGTCTTCCACAACCTCACTATCATTATCTTCCATCACGTCCCACTTTTTTCTCTACCTGTATCCGAATTCGACATTTTCTTTTGTTAAATCAACATGACCCAAATTAAAGATCGTCCGCTGTGAGAATCACGTTTTTTAGTCACATAGTAGATTATAATGTTCTGTGAATTGTCCGAATTATTACCGATATAATCTTTCCGAAGAAGTATACGATACGATGATAATTCCAACTTCTCGCAACCGAAATGTCCGATATTCTTTGAAAGAGCTTGCTTTAGCATGTAATCAGATATTGTATAAAGATAATGTAAATAGCTACTCATCAATCACGAGATTTAGCTATCGGCCCAATGCTATATGCCTGATATGTTGGTCTATAGGATCAATATCTCCATTATGACAGCGCTACTGTTCGTTGTGGCAATAATCGCAAGTTCAAATCCCGTGCCTGCAATGTTGAATTTCCCAATCTACAAAAAAATATTCATTTATACACAGAACGCTCTAATCGAAAGTATACCTGAGAATTAATACGCTCAAACCAGCAGTATTCAAGAATCACAATGCCAGCGGGAAAACTCTGTAGAACACGTGATAAATATTTATATTGGATCTTGCGTCAACCATCCACGAATAAACGTTGATCGAGTTTAATGGATTAAAGTCATGTGGAAGTCGTATAGGTTTCCAAGAATCTTTTTGAGATAGGTCGCTGGGAATGTAACTGTGCTAGTGCACCGTGATAGCACCCACTGCTTCTTTATCCGCATGTGCCACGTGAGCATTTGCTATTGTCGCTGAGCATGTATGTAATTCACAAAGAATTTTTTGATATTAATATGATTAACCGTAACCGTTGAAGGAAATGAATAATGGTATCATGTTAAGACAAACAGTCTTATTATTATAGCTACGCTTAATTAAATAGTACGTACATTTGTAGTTGCGCGTTGAAGACGAAATCATATTAATATCGTGTTACTCATCAATGTATATGCTATACTTTACAGTTCAGTTTGACACGTACTGCATCTGGCGTATTAATATGTTTATTTAATATTAAGCGATGTTTTAAAACATACCAGGAGCGGAGTAATTTTTTTACAATTTCATACAAATTTGACCAATGTAATTGCAAGAATCAGGTCACGTTCTACTCCGCTTTAGCCATCCGTGGGGGTTAATTTGTACACAGGATACGCGACGACAGATTTTTGGACGTAAACAAAAGGCAAAAAGGCGGAATCTCCAGTGTCTGCATTTCAAAGTCATTTTTCAAAGTCATTTTTACACCAGGCATTAGGCATAAAACCCACCCTTATTATAAATACAGCCCGAGAAGGGCGCCAAAACAAAATAGGGATAAATAATACACACTTGATCCCTCGAAACAATGAAAACCACGTTCGAGACTTACCCCAGACCTTTTACACGCAAACTTTTGTCAATAAACTTACTTTAAGTACATACCACGGACTGAAAACGCAGGATAGACGGAGTCGGAGACTGCCGTTGCCTTCATCCGTCAAGTCGCGCAAAAGCCCCCGAGTACGATGAGGATCCCAAAATGGATACCTCACAAGCGACGGCTTTCTTTGACGGTATAACGATATACTCCGTAAGGAAGAACGTCGGGAGGAAGGAACTGGTTATTCTGGCCGTTCACGATAATGAACTTCCAGCCAGGCCAATATGACTTGAATGCAACAAGGTGAAGCGTTGGCCCACCACAGTCAGATTTTTGGACGTAAACAAAAGGCAAAAAGGCGGAATCTCCAGTGTCTACATTTCAAAGTCATTTTTCAAAGTCATTTTTACACCAGGCATTAGGCATAAAACCCACCCCTATTACAAATACAGCCCGAGAAGGGCGCCAAAACAAAATAGGGATAAATAATACACACTTGATCCCTCGAAACAATGAAAACCACGTTCGAGACTTACCCCAGACCTTTTACACGCAAACTTTTGTCAATAAACTTACTTTAAGTACATACCACGGACTGAAAACGCAGGATAGACGGAGTCGGAGACTGCCGTTGCCTTCATCCGTCAAGTCGCGCAAAAGCCCCCGAGTACGATGAGGATCCCAAAATGGATACCTCACAAGCGACGGCTTTCTTTGACGGTATAACGATATACTCCGTAAGGAAGAACGTCGGGAGGAAGGAACTGGTTATTCTGGCCGTTCACGATAATGAACTTCAGCCAGGTCAATATGACTTGAATGCAAACAAGGTGAAGCGTTGGCCCACTAGTTGGCCCATAAACATTGAAAAGCCAACCATGCTTTACTCTTGCATATTAGTTAATATGCAAGTTGTTTGCATGCAAGGTGAAAGCGTTGGCCCACAAACAACTTCCATGTTTATTAGTTAATAAGGTGCAAGAAGCCAGTGGGGAAAACCATAGCAGTTCACAAAGACGTAGAACCCAGTGGACACTATTACTATATATTCCATGGTTGCTGTCTTTCCTTTTTCCATCAGCGCGTGGATAATTTACTACGATATAAGAAATTGATCGGGACCCGCCAAATTCCTTTCTTATATCGAGAGTCTCTTGTTATAAGACAGTCCTTCATTAACGGAAATAAAACTTTCTCAAACACCTCCATCCTCCAAACTCTCCCTTTAACCTTCTCGTTTCTATACCAACATTAAACATTTTTTTCTCATATCTACACTCGAATATGTCCGCTTACAATAATATCCCTTCTCATATTAGAGGTGTTGTTACCCAACTCTGTAACTACATGAAAAACAACAGTCTCAAAACAATTACGATAGAAGATGAAGAATTAACATTCGTTTATTTATCGAATAATATTATGAAATATAATGCAGATGGTACTTCTTATAGCAAAACTTTATTTACACAAGATATCTGTCTAGAGTTACTTGCCTTTTACATTTAATACTACGTCTTTTTTAAAACGATATAGCCCTTTGAATAAAAGATCCATCTACCTTACCTTAACATTGTTGTTTGATTGATTGAGCAAAACGGAGAATAATATTGAAGTTATTGATAACTTCACTATGAGAAATACCCTTGTTAATACTCCTCCTCCTCTTCTTCTTCTTCTTCTTCTTTCTTCTTCGTTACTATTACTATTGTGTACTGCTTCAATTATTTCACTATTACTAGGCATGCTTTCATTGATTTCAAAGCATCATCAATAGCAATAAGTTCATTTATTGGTAATGACATATTTATAGACAGTTGGTCAATAAGGGATTGAAGTTCTACAGTATCATCTAAATTAAGAAATTCTTCAGTTGGCTCATGATAAATCGGCGCCAGAAAATGTAGTTTAGAATGCATTAAAAGGATCTTACGCGTTATGCAGAAGAGGTCTCGCAACATTCTAAAATAGGAAAAATTTAGTGTTACTCTTCTTATATCGAGAGAGACTTTCTTATATTTAAGTGTAAGACTCCAATACTTCGAAATCACTTGACAATGAGCATAAAACTAGTTTATTGTTATGTACACCGCCACTTAATCAGCTGTTGTATCATTGCTAAGCTCTTGTTGACCATTTTAGTGTTTCTACCATTCGCACGGCTCCGCATGTTACAATACGCTGCAACATCTTTTAATGATTACTCAGTAACACTTCGACTCGCTTTCTTATTCTTCATTTATTTATTTATTTATTTAATTTTGCCTAATAAGCTAAACCAACGAGAAATAATCGAAACTCCTACGCCGTCTATCAACTCAACGGGGTTAACAACAGAAGACGTAAAAAATTTTCTTATAAAATAGCGTCCTTTCGTGCCAGCGAGAAATTCATCGTCAAAATGTCTTCGCCAAACAAGACGTTGTTATATAATATCACGCAATCTTCTCATACAAAAATTCAATACAAACCAAATCATCAAATTGTCTTGATGACACTGCCCTCTGCTTTGTGCACACTGCCTCCGCTTTACCGAGCACCTGTTATACGTTGACGACGACCGATATTCTGACGAACCACAGCCTCTAGCTTGGATATTAAATGAAGTTTACAACGGCAGCGGGCAAATTTTTTTGCAAATTTAAGAAGCACAGGATGTGAAAGAGGAAGCCTGACGGGAGATACTGGGAGAGAATGGGAGAAAGAGAGTTGGGGGTGCCAAAGTATGATGGTGGAATTTATAACTAATATTTGACATTATATTTTTAAATCATAAGTGAAAAAATTAAGTTTAAAATGTATCTTTCAAAAGTTTTTATTTAAACAAGAAAATGTAGTCCTAAAAGTTTAGAGTTCTAATAAAGTTGTCAATATAAAAATAAGTTTATTGGATTTATTAATACTGGTAAAATTATAGAATTCAGTTTGCTTTCCAAAATAGCTTATGACAATTACATGAGTTATTACTGCATGTTTATAGATCGATTCTTAATATCAACGAGTTACATTATCTACTTTTCCTGACAAAGTGATTTATAAAATAAAAAGATGCGGATTATCCATTGAATATCCCTATATGCATCGTATCAGAGAATTACGCTAGTCTTGTATTCTACAATAAAAAACGTTGCGTATCCTCCATTGTCAAAATTACGCGGATGAGCGATTTAATTGACACGTCAACTAAGCAAACCGAGTACTAATCCAAGAATGAATTACTCCCTCTTAAAATTGCTCAGCTTCGCAGGTAAACTTAAATTTGAGGGTACTTGCCAAAACGGATCATTGGTACACCTTTAGCGTTCAATCGTAGGTTAGACAATAAAAGAACGCAAAACTCCAAAACGGATCATTCACACGTGGTGTAAATTATCTTTGCTATTTTATTTTTGCAGACGTGGCTTCTTGACATATCACCCAATCTCCACTCACGACACTATAGGCGAGCCAACATATAGAGGTAATAGTGGTCTGAATGGAATGAATGTGTAAAAGAGAGCGTTTGTGGGTATAGAATGTTTATCAAAATATTTTTTTCTGGACAGGATGTAAGAAAGAATGCAGAGTTACTTGTTCCGGCGAAGACTAGAAACTTTGCGGGTTTTTCCAGGTAACTAATAATAACATTGTATTTTACTAATCCTCGATTGATTTATCCATCTAATCGTGCAACTCCTTTACGCCGAAGGCCTAACAATATCGGTCGGCAATTTATACAAGTGTATATCAATGGGTCAGTCTTCTTAATGCTGGCAATTATTCAGCAGTACAAATCTCCATGATTTTGCTTTGCTAAGCAGGATAGACGTTCGAATGGACATTCTCCTGTCAGACTTACGAACCTGAATGGCCATTGAAATGGCAAATCTTGGGAGGTCGGCGATATGCAAGCTCATGCACACAGTAACGTTTGGTTTCGACATCATGAAGACATTCGAGAGCCTACGTTATATAGGATATGCAGCAAGTGTTCTCCCACATAGGAGCAACAGGTTTGATTCTTAGGATTTCAAGTAAGTAGGTTATTAACTCCGAGTACTGCAAGTAATATGTTCGACCATTAGTTTACCAGATCAATTTGACAGGAAGAACCGGACGCCCAGCCACCGAAGGTGCCCTTCGGAGTGGCGTTAGTGCTGTATGCAGAACTAGAAAGACCATCACACACTCTCAGATGATTTCTTGGTCGGGACAATGTCAAAACATTCCAAGACGCACCATTCTGTAATATTATGTTACCGTTTGCAATTTTCCCTGTTTCATTCGCAAGACGTTCAACTGACTGTTTCTCCGAATATTTTACAATTCGTAGATTCACAATCGTTTGCAGGCCAGAAACTCATCCGTTGAGGTGATTTTCTAGCACAGATCAATTCTATGGTTAGAATAAAGCGACGAGAGATTGTAAGGAGAGATCGTTCTGGAAAAAATGGTGACTGACGAAGAGTGGATTTTTTCTAGATTGTGTGCGTGAGTGGTCATGGCGAAAATGTGTGTGTGATAATTAAGTAGATGGACCAAAGATGTATGTTAATAAAACCAAGTGTAGGGAATATTGATGGAATTAAATAAATTGTACAGGAACTCTGGATGGTAGCATCGGAATGATAACGCAAGAGAATGCATTATTGTATACACAAATGGTCAATGGCATTCGAATATTCTGATTAACAGCGTTGCGTATACTTTAAGTTGTAAGTGAAATTACGAAATGGAAATTATTGCAATTTTGAAATGCCCGTATTATTAGACTTCAGCAATTATGAACTGATTGTCGTGACACCCATTAACAATATTATTTCAGATGCT